TCAGCAGTGATCTTCCCAGCCTCTTGCTGTTATAGTTAGCTCTTGCTTCAAGGCTTCTCATATGATGATTTGTAGGAGAGAGATCCATAATTTCATGCTTCGCGTGGAAGTTTTAGCACCCATTGAGGTCAGTAGTCCAAAAATAAGACTTAACTGCTTCCTTTAAAATCATGTAATTTCTGTTCATGATATTAAATATTAACTAAAAAAAACCCCCTTGTCTCTGAACATGTAGTAATTTCAAATAAATGTCATTAACTTCAGAAGTAAACAAGGTCAATAGACAAAAATGTACAAATACTAGATTAGTTGATGTAGTTATATAGAGAATCATGCAAGAAGAGCTTTTGTTCAGTGAAACTTTTGTTTAACTTGTTATAACATCTTCTCCAGAAGTGGTTAGGCACTATGAAAAGAAATCATAAAAGTTTAATCTATCCTGGTGTACAGTATTGTGTTGGAAATACAAGTTAGATATATTGTGGGCAAACAAAAATAGTACTGGAAACATTATAGGTGAGCATCTATTTTTGTGCAAGCTCTATGATAGCTAATGCACTACTTCAGGTTTTACTTTAAAAATGAAAGATGAATGCTTGTACGTGTATGGGTTTTTACATTAATGAAATACATTAGACAGTGGTACCAATAATTCTGGAAACTTACTAGAGCATTCTTTACAAGTAAGCTGGCTAAAACAGTGGATAGTCTGATTGGTGAAAGAGCATGATTAAAAATAACAGCTTTCTACGAGGTTATTTCAAGATCACCTTGTAGTGAATGTGCGAGCACTCAAACTATCTGAGAATGTTATGGATGCTAGAAATACTGAATGTTATCACTGAAAAAAATGGCTGCCAAATTATTTAAAAAAGGTGAAAAAATGTGTGTTAAATTAGCAAGGCAGCATGATTAAGATATGCAAAATTAATTAATTTTGTATGTATTTTCCTAGCACGTGTATTTGGAATCCACAAAAGCAGAAGCTGGTGAAGTAAGTCTTTAAGATAATGCCTTGAACAACATTTTGAGCTAATGAAATTGCACAGGTTACACAAAAAAAATGTGTTTTCTTCAGACTGTCGCTGTTAACATCACCTAAATGCAAGATCAGCTCTAAACTGCATATCATCCCGAATTCAGGGAGACAGAAATAATCCAGTAGGATGTTCCATTGAAGTGGAACACTAGTTCCTGTGCCCGGCCAATAACCCATCTGCTCAGGGTGGGATAGCAGCAGCTCAGGACCCACACATTCTGGCAAAATCGTACTTACTTGTTCTGTGCCTGACACTCAATGTTGTTAAGCATAAAACTTGGGGTTTAAGTAGTAATGCAAGTAGATATTGTCCCAAAATCAGAACATAAATTTTCAAGAGATCTTTGTTAGCAGGATAAATAATTTTCATACTTGCAAGTCATGATAGATGAGGATTTGTTTGAAAACACAATGTAGATCATGATTTATGTTGAGATATTAAAAACCTTTGTCAGCAAAGATATTTATGGTATTTCAGGCCATGGTGGTCATATCGTCAAAGTAACTTAGCTTAGTAATTGTCTTTTTTCTTGTTAAAACAAAACCAGAACTTTTTTTTATACCTAAATAAGTTGTATATACCTAATATACCTAAAGAAAAATGAAGTGATTCTGCATCATTTTCACTACCATAGTTTGAGCGCAGTGGAGGCTGAGAATTTGTATTAAAACTGTTTGAATTAAAATTTTTCGGACAGTTTCAACTGGAGAAGTATCGTTTGTGTAGTGTTAGTTTATCCTTTCATTTTGCTGTCCTTATTTCTCTCTCTTGTTAAAGCATAGGCATGTGTAGCTGCAGTAGTTGAGAAGACCCCGATGCTAGAAGTTACTGCCTTACCCCTGGGCTGTGTAATGGTGGTGTTTAGGCAGTTCAGCGAAGGATCAGACGGGTTGGCTTTTTGTTTCCACAGTTGTCTGTGTTGACAAGTGAGATTAAATCTGATAAAGATGCTTTTCAATAGACTTATCGAAGAATTGTTGCATTGTTGCCAAAGCAATTGAGTATTAAAATTAAAATGTATTTAGTGTTTTGATTGCTTTTTTTTTTGCTTTGGAAAATAAGGCAGTAATACAACGTAAGAACAGGCTGTGACATAATATCCAAACTAGTCAGTTAATAAACTTTATTAATTCATATGAAAATATAAATAAGTTGTCTATAATAAGATTTAGATACTTGGCCTAATTTGCTAATAAGTCTGCACTATACCAGAATGTCTTCCTTTAGTCAATGCTAATTACCGAGCAGCTTCTTAATAATTTATCAGTATTGGTGTATAAATTGCAAAATACATTTTGCTTTTGTGCATCTCAAGAATATTAATACAATAATAGCTCAATTATTGTGGAAAAAGTCACTCAATGCAGCTTTTCTTCAATTGATCACAACAGGGGTCTGGAGCATAAAGCATTGGGAGAATCTTCTGTGGTAGTTGAGCGAGACCTGATGTTGTTGTGAGGATCATTTGTCTGCAGGAGGGCTGGAAATGGTTCAGGAGAGGGGAGAGAAGCAGGTGACAGCAGGACGTGCAGGATACAGCCAAAGGGATGAGTCTGCGGGTTCTTTTCCAGCTCCTCTTGTCCCACTGTTCTCTGAAATATTCGTCCTTTCAGTGATGCAAATGGGTTTTTCTCATAGTAAAAATTTCAAGTTCTTTGAAAGGCACAAGAGAGCCAGATTTACTTCTCTTGATTCCTTGTTTTTTTAATTGCAGTTCAGACATTTTTTTTTTAACTCTTACAAGTCTCTTGTTTCTAAGTCGTATTATTTAATGGCTGTGATTAATTCTTAGTCTTCAAAACTTAGTCCTTCGTCCTTTTCTAGCCAGAAAAGTGGCGTCAAGAGAACGTGTATTAGATACAGTTCTATAAATCATAATAAAGAGACATCAGCTGAGGAGAACACAAACTTCAGCACCTCCTTCACCCACTCCAGCAGATAACCTCCAGGAGAACTGAGCTTTGTCCAAGGTCTTTCATTGGTGCTTTGTGCAGCATAAGCATATTCTCGTTGGTAAAATGTGCTTAACCTTGTCAAGAGCTTTCGGATTAAAAGAAAAAACAAAAATCATCTGCCAAGTGTTTTGGTTTTTTAAAGATAAATTCCATTCCTACCAGCTCAGAAACTAAGAAGTTGCAGTGACTTAGCTAAACCTTTCCCTCGTAGCAGCTTTCCAAAAACTATACAGTGTAAATAACCCACTGAGGCTTACCAGGTTTGCTGAATCCTTTAACTTCTCCTCAGCTTTCACTTTGCAATCACAGGAGTGATGGAAGTATTAAACTTCTGTGATTTTCCTGGCAAGAGGGAAATTTCCTGTCAATGACAAGAAGGTGCAAGGTAGCTACTGCCAAAATTAATGACTTCAAAATCACAGATAGATAAGTTACAGAAGGAGCCTAGAGCTGAATTGTCAGGCTTAGAAATGAAGAAATAGGACTATTGGGTGCTATGGCTCTTGTTAAACAAGCATCTTATCAATGAGAGTCTTACCTGTTCAAAAAAGATGTAAGTAGGTAATTTTAATAGCAAATTTCATCTAGGCACTTGACATCTTGCTTAAAATGCTACATTAGGTTGAATGAACAGGGAACACATTAGTTGAATTAAAAATTCTTTCACTGAGAGATCTCAAAGTATGTCACCCTTAAAATGTGTCAACGAGTGGGGTTGTGCGTGGTTTCCCAAGGAATAGTTGTTTGTGTAAAGATCTGCGGTGCCTTTTTTAATAGTCTAGACGATTATACAGAGGTTCTGTAGGTGGAATTTAAAGTCCTGGAGACTGACCATCAGAGTGCTGGAATCATCCAAATGTGGGGGGATGCTGCTGAGTTCCAGGTGAGATGCAGGAGCAGAGAATTACGTTTATACATAACCACCAGAAGATTATAATGAAATCTAGAAAAGTTTTAAGGTTCCTATATATGTGTGTGTGTACATATATATGTACATATATATATATAAAAAGCTCAGTACAAAATTGGATTGACTTTATGTAGAAGCTTATGCACAGAAAAGAGATGTGTTAGGAATTCTTTAATTATGCATCCAAAACCATAAGAACAATTGGAAACTGGATGCTGAATCAGGACAATTCTGTCTTGAACGTGCTGCAGCATAGGCCATTAAACATCCAAAACCTTCTGTGAGATACTGGAATCACTGGACCGCTCTCTGGGATCATCTTGGCATTGCCTGGACTTTTCCTGCTGCAACAGGGAGCAAGGACGAGTTCTCCAAAGCCCTGGTTGAGGCATGCTGTAGTTTTGGAGATCTCAATACTACGTAGGGGTTTTTTGATAGTTACAGCACTGTGAAATGCCGCTCTCATGGTATGGGAAGCACGTATCCCATGGACTTGTCTGGGTAGATGTGTGTTGCATCGTTTCCCATTACTAGGAGGATTTGGAAGTGGTGACCTAAGCCATCTCTTTGGAGTCATGTGGTTGTTAGCGTCTGTCAAAAGCTAGCCACTTGTTTTTGTTAAAATAGTGTGAGGATATACAGTCTGGAGATCAAAACCTAATGCTTTTTTCCTGTTTCTGTCCTGTTTAACCTGTGGAAAGCCCCGATCCTTTAATGTACATCAGGTGAATGACTCCCGGGCGCTTCTGTGTGAGGTTGAGCTCTGCCCAGTTGAATGTTTCTCATTCAGTTGGTGGGAGTTTGGCTGCAGGGTTTGGTTCATCTGTATGGATTGAATTGAAGAGCTGTTGCCTTTGCTTAACTAGTGATGGGGTCTGGGTTTTCCAGTTAGTACAGCTGCTTAATGCACCAGCTCAAACACCTTCAGCTGGGTCCCTGACTGCAGTCTCAGAAGTCTCTTTCCACTCCCTGGACACCAATAAGTGTTTCTGAGAAAAGAAATATGACAAAATGTCAGTGGGTTTGATGCAGAATTAGTTTAAAGGGAACTTGAAGTGAATACTAAAAATACATTTTGGCTTTTTGTCTCTGCAGAGTTTACAGATGCTTCCTCAACAACGGAAAGCCATAGCAAAATTTAAGGAGCCAGCACATGCTTTAGCATTTCAACAGAAATTCCACAGGTAAATAATTAAGCATTGCTGCCGCCTCGGTTCCTTCCCTCTCTTCAAAAGATTAAATCAGTCTCCTCTGCTCAATGTTTCTCTTAAGCCAATCAAGCGTCTGTTTATTAGTGACCTTCATTAGAACCTCCTTGTCTGTTCTCCACCCCTAGAATCAGTTTGAGTACCAGGTTTAAATTTCTTTTAACTTTTAACAGGCACATGATAGATCTGTCCCACATAAACGTGGCACTGATAGTTGAGTGATGTCTGCTGAGAGAAACCCTGACACTAACAGAAGCGTACTGTGGAGCTACACAAGACACAGTGGCAAAACCATCAGGTTGTGAAACCTTTCAGCTTAGTCTTTAATTGCTATGTTGAACTACAGAAAGCAGCAAGATGTCCTCCAGAAGAGCTGAACTTGAGAGGATCTGCAAAGATGGAATTTCTGTTCCGTTTGTTCACATTCTGTTGTAACCACGTGGAACTACAGATTTTTTTCAAAATGCTTTCAATGCATGTAGACACTGTTCTTCAAGATCCTACTGTGTGAGCACAGTGACTTGAGAGAGAACGTTTACATCGAAAGATTTAAAAACTTTCTTCTTAGCAAAGAATATTTGATAATGGTTGCTCTTATCTTCAGTGCGAGGTATTTGAATGAAAACTCACTTTTCTAAACAAAACACATCAGTTACGTTGTATATTTGAGAGCACAGAAGGTATTCTTGCATAGATTTAAACGTGGTCTACTTCACTGAATAGCAGTATGCTGAGAAGCTTTGGAGGTGACACTGGAAAATTGTAGTTTTGATCTTTGTAAATAAGTTAAGTCTGTCTTTGCATCTTTCTATTCCAACACAGACTTCCATCTTCTCCTTCCAACTCCATTTATTCCATAAAACCCTGTGTAGGAATAACATTGCTGTATTTTCCCTTGGTTTTAAAAAACAAGGATCTTTGCCCTTCAGTAGCATCGTGGGGTAGTGAACTCCAAGTTGTAACTAGGTTGTTTCAAATGACGTTGCCAGGTACAAGGACAAAGAAATATTTGGTGGCTCACTTCAAAAATGTTACACAGGAAGAGTGGCGCATTCTTAATAGTTCTTTTGGGCTAGCGTTTCATGATTACCTTATGCTTTATTTTGATTATTTTTTTTTCTTTGAGATTTATTTTGTGACTAATGCTGAACCATAAGAAACCCGTAACTGAAAGGAGTTGGTTTGATGTGTTGTTCCCGATAAATACAGGACTATAAGGGTATTGTGAATCTGCTGGTGAACGTGGCAGTTCCCAAAAATTACGTGCAAACGTTAAGGAGCTTATATTTTATTCAAAGTAAAATTCGTAATATTTCCTTTTGGTTAGAACCATCTAGATGGTGTTGCCAAAGGGACAATTTTTTTCAGTTACTTCTGAATAAACTTATTAAAATGTCATCTTTATATTGGATTCCAGTTTTTATGAACATTTCCGTAGTTTTTAGACTGTGAGCTTTTGCTTCATCCTTTATTTTAGGATCCTTTATTTTATTAAGCACTCCACCTACGATTTGAATGGGGGGACTTGCAGAAACTTGCAGAAAATAGGTTTGTTACCTGAGTGACTGCAGAAGAACACTATTGGTATGTAATGCAACAGCTGTGAATGGGGTCCAAAATAGGCATGCCAAGTGTGGAAGGATGAACTAAGCAAGTTTATAGTAGTGTAGGGTTTTTTTTTTGTTTGTTTGAAGATTTAATGGTAAGCAAGTCACAAAGACCTAATTGGCTTTCTTATAGTTTTGGTCCAGATTTTCAATTAAGTAGAAGTTACTAAAAATAATGATTGAATAATACATACTGTCAAAAGTCTTCTAGATAAAACAGCTCTTTGTTCATTGAAATAATACAGAATAATGTGGTATTTTGGAAATAGTGCACTGGGAAAAAAATTTAAAGAATACTTTAAGCCCATTTACAACTTAGTGACAAGACGCAGTAACATAATGAGAATTTTTGCGTGGAAGTGAGTTTTACACCCATCTGTATAGTTCCCCATTTATGCATAATACTTAATAACATCCAGCACAATTACTAGACATAAAGTGCTATTAGTGCTTCAGGGCAGACCCAAGCCCAGGACAGAGAATGAGCCGCAGGTAGGAAGTGCCCAGTGGGAGCCGACCCTGAAGACTCATGCGAGGTGATCTGCCCCGAGCTCTTTAACTCCTCACACCGTGAGCACTAGGACCCCTGCGCTGCCTCCTCAGGTCATGTAATTTTTATTTTTAAGAAATAAATGCTTATCTTTAAAACAAGTCATTAAACAGTTATTCATCCCGCTGTTAGGGAGCAGCTTCTCTGTAATGAGAAGGATGGGAAGACATCTCGGAGTGGAGCGATAATAGTGCGTGTCTGGAAATCTGGGTTAGATGCAAATGCCAGACAGGCCAGCAGCTGAGTTCAGCAGCAGGAACATCTGCAGTTGATCAGCTGTCCTGTCAGAAGCAAATGTTATTGGGGTTAGAGGGTTTCTTGGAGCCTAAGAATATGGGTTTGATTCAAAAGTCAAAGAAGTTTGTAGAAACACTCCTGCTTTGGGTTTTGAATCCATCCCACAGAGGCTGAGGTTCAGCCAACTTAAGTTTTAACAATTTTTATTCAGTTGGGTTTTTTAAAAAAAATTTTTTTTGAGACAAATGCATGGCTTTGGAGTAAAGACATGAAATCGCCTCAGATGTATTTAAATGTGGGAGGCAACGTAAACAATGCCTGTTTAATGACTAGATGCATCCTCTTTAAAGGCGGTTGCAGTAGATTATTGCTTGTGCATAGACAGAGTACGGGCGGATCGCCGGTGGTGATTTTAGCTGCCTATTGCAGTACCTGGGTATCTTACTGTATGTAAACTTACTATATGTATGTATGTCTATATACACTTTATTATACACATACATACATACTAACACCCTGTGTTGTCACCGTATCTCTCTAATATCTTAAAAAACTCAGTAGCAAAAGTAGCAATTAGGTGAGTCATTTGCTAAAATGTTTGTGTTTTGTTAGTTCTCAAATCCTAACTTAAAAGTGGATCTCTTGGCAATGATCAGTTTGGATGATACAGCTCTTTTAGATCCGTTTGTTGTCTCCTCCCAAAAAACCCCAAAGGAAGTAGAGGTAAAGCTAGACAGACGTGTTCTTGCCATGTTCTCTTTCAGCACATAGTTAAATCCAAATATCTTAAGTTAACTTTCTTGGAAGATCTGTTGCAACCATTATCTTGTTCTTTCTTTATCATGCATTCAAAATACGATGCAAAATGCAAAATGAAAAAAAAAAAAAAAAAGGCATTTAATGTAGTATGTAAATATTGACCTTTTAAAATTAAAATGTTACTCAAAGTGCTTACAGTCAACCACATCTTAGCTATTTGTTAGTTTTTTGTGTCGTCTTATCTAAGTTTAATGGATACAGTTCCATAAATGTTGATGTGTTTTTGTGTATATCTTCAAATTTTTATAAAGATGCTAGTAAGTCAATACATATATCCTGATCTGTGTATTATTTGTTCACAGTTTTTCTTAGCATAATTTTATAACGATTTTAATAGGCAACTCCAGTAGGTGCTTATATGGAGCCAGCTTTTTTTTTTCCAAATTATTTTGTTTTCATCTTGTAGCACTGGAGAATTCATTTTATAACTAATCATATTTTGCCTTGACTAAACGATTGGATTGCCCATATGATCTGTGGTATTTTAGTAGAATGTTCTACTTTTTTTTTATTAAAAAAAAAGTTATATCTCTGTGCTTTAACTTTCGAGGGGAAATACAGTGCACTGTCAGACCAAGGCATGGGGTTTCTAGGTTTGTTCCATTGTGCTGTACAAGTACAAATTAGGTCTGTTGTGTAATATTGTTCTCAAAAGTTTGGGATATTTTGGTTTTACACCTAATTCAAGTTGGTCATGTAACACATTGGTTCATCACAATGTTAGCAACTGATGTGGCACATATACTGTATGATGGAATGATGTGCAGTGTTCAAAAAGCTCGGTATAATTGGTGCTAGGCAGGAGGAGGACAGGTCCGTAGCATCTTCATAGCTGGAAGAGCTGCCGTGCAAATGTTTATCTCTAAGTAGTGGTAGAGAATAAATTTAGACAGGGGTATTGTTCCTGGCCCACATACATCTCCAATATGACTTCGCGAAAGAAGAGTAAAAACCGGCACCTCATCTGTAAAGTATCTTCAGATCCCTAGTTTATTCCCCAGTTTAATTCTGAAGATTCACTTCAGATTTCCAAATTTCTGTTAAAAAAAAAAAAAAATCCTTCTAGCCATTAAAATGCCAAGCAGACTGAGCATTTTAGTTCTTTGGTGTTAGGTTTCCACTGCAAGGATTTAGATGAGGTATTTTTTACAAAACTGTAGGCTATTTCGGAATAACCTTGAGGGTCTTCATCGTTTTTTCTTAACATTGTCTAGCTACTTGGAATAAGAGAAAACCTTTTACTTGGTGCTGAATTTTTTTTTTTTTTTTTTTTTTAAACATAGTATATTTATCTGTTTAGCTTGAAATTGTGCAATTTTCCCCGAAGCTATTGTAGGCGCTTCCTATAGTTACACACAGTAACTGCGTGTCTGTATGTGTGTGTGGGTGCCTTGCCCTTATAGCTGGGGTGAGAGGGTGAGTGGGAGAGTGTGGGGTTTCATTTCTTGGGGGGGTTTTTTGGCCTGTTTTTTGTCTAACTCGGGAGAAATCCTGGATTTGGTCTCTGGCATAGTACTGTGTTGTTCTTGTCCTTCGCGTAGTATTTTGTTTGTTACGTGAGTCGTGATACTCGAAGGTGGAAATCTGGCTTCACCTGTTCACTGTCAAAAAGGCATTTTTGTTCAGAGAAGCACAAACCTTTTTTTTTTTTAATTATTTTTTGTGCTTTTACTTTTTTTAGCAGCATGTTGGATAAGAAATTAAATGTGAAGGAAACAAATACTGAACAGGTTGCAGAATGTTAGCTATATTATAAAGGTCCTTTAGGGTAACATAGGGCTTTTGTTTCAGTGTTACCTTAAATAGTGTCTTAATCTCTAATTAATTCATAAACATAATACTTGAAAGTATTTTATCTTCAATTAGTATCAAATCCTAAGGATTTTATGTAAGGTTTTTTTGTAACCTGATTTTTAATCACAGAGATGACTTATTATCCACATGAGCACAGGGTCTTGTGTACAAAAATACCGATTCATATTGGATCCTTACGTATACCATCTTCTGGTATAATATGGTTGGGAAGGATCATTTTGTTCTTTATAACACTGCTTTTTGCAGGGTTGGGGTTTTTTAATTAAAAAAAAACAAAACACCTCCATTTTCTACTTCTGTGCTTATTTTGGTGGAAAGTACGGTCCTTACTGCACTAAAGAAAACCTCAAGGGGCAAATTAATCTCACTGGGTCTTTTAGGTGCCTGTGTTGCTTTCTCATTTCTTGGTTGGATGCACTGATGTTTCTAACTAACTGGAAGTGGGCTTTATATATACACTGTTTTTCAACAGGTTACACTGCTTTTATTTAATGTAACAGCACTCAGATTAAGCAATTTTTACCATCTAAATAATTATAAACAGTATTACAGATTAAGAATATCTTTGTAAAAGAACCTGTGTACAGTTAGATGTAGCTGTATTGCAATGTTGCATGTAGTCACTTGGAAGATCACAATTTAAAATGCTGCTGTATTAATGTTATATTAGTTCAGTGGTTCAGGGTTTTCTTTATGTGCATCTAATGGTTTTTAATATGCATTGTATTTTTTTTCCTAGTGTCTGTCAGGCTGACTTTGGAACCTTATAGTTTTGTTTCCATTTATATAATAATAAAACCATTTTTTTGCAGGATTTTTTTCAGTGAAACGTCTTTCAAGGGTGTAACTTCTAATTAATACACATTTTCACTTACAGATACAGCAAAGACAAGAGGCTAACACTCATTTATTCACAGCTGATCTTCCGTATCATTGCATACAATTTTTTATTGATACAAAGTGCCCTTAGAATAAGTCAACTTTC